GTGCTGGGCATCGCTTGTGCAGCAGCCCACCCTCCCAGCCTGCCCCTGCTTCCCCTCCTCTTTCCTCTTTCAAGAGGTCCTGCTACCTGTACCCAGGAGGGCTTCAGAAGGAGCGTTTAATGTGACGGGTCACAGAGCTCAGTCCGTTTCCTCTCCTACAGAACGTCCTGTAACAGCTCGTCCTGTAACAGATCCTGAAACAGCCCAAACTGGCAAGGACAGGCATAGCCTGCAGGTCTCACACGGCCAGGACTTTGATCCTCTGTGCGACAAGCCCCAGGACCTATGGTTACGGTCTGTACCTTGGTGATGTGGCTGACTTAGTTTCTTATTTAAAAGGTGCGCAAGAGGAAGGAAGAATGTCAGTGGTAAGGAGGACCTAGCTCCCATCACTCAGCTCCAGATGCAGTCCAGAAAGGTGGCAAATATACATGTTTGTGTCCCCAGGAGGAGAGCACGGGAATGTCCCTTTTCCTGTCCCTGTGCCTGTTTGATGTTATTTTCTTAAGTTTATTTCTGCTGATTAATAAGGATTAAAAATGATAGCACATTGCTTTTGCTTATATTGCATTTAGCAGGAAGGAAAATATTTTTCAAATGTTCAATAACTATTTTTTCTGTGGTTAATTTTCTCTTTGTTTCCCTTGCTTATTTTTCTATAGGTGTGTTCGTCCCTTGCCAACCATATATATTAGATTTTTTCAGTTGAGTACTTAGCACAGTACCCTGATCTATACATAATGATGATGACTATCATTTAATCCCCAAAATAATCTTGTGTGGTACATTTTATTCAGGAGCATTCCAGAATATATAATGATGGGCTAGTTTGCTTTTTCTATCAAAGATAAGCAGTTGCAAATGTGGCCTATGGAATCAGACTGGCTTTGTTTGTTCTGGGGAGGCAATCATTGTAGGTGTAATCTTATGCATTGCCTAAAGTCTTTGACTTCTATTTCCTCAGCCCTGAAAGAGGTGCAATAATAAAATTAACTTCATGAGGATTGTTCTGCAATTATAAAGAATATATACATATATGTCTATCTATCTATATATATATCGATATAGATATAGATAGATAGATAGATAGATATGGTGCATTATTGTACATGATTTTGAAATAGTTTAGCAGACTTTGCAAACATAAAGTATTAAAAGTCATCTTATCTCAAACTTTCCAGTTAACTGGTCAGAGGAGTAAACACGATGCATTTTGGGTGTGTGATATCACTTTCAACTTCTCAACCACTTTCTTGGCAACATGAGTAGGTCTCACAGTGTCTTCGTGCTTGCTTCCAAATGTATTCTATGGCAAAGAATTTTCAGAATAAAAAGACAGCTTTGCTATTCAGGGAGCCTGTGTAAGAGATGGACACCTTGAATTGAATTAAACTTTTTTGCTTTAGTATCATCCTCACAAGCTCTGCATATATAGGTGGCAACCTTCCTCCTCTCCCATCAGTACTAGAATCACAAAAAGCTTTTCATTTGTCTAGTCCAGTGGTGCTCAAACTTTGGAGCACAGAAACAAATCTAATATATTTATAAAAGAACTACATGCTACATACTGCCTCTCTGATCTCCACAGCACTGACTTCTTGGATTTTAGCCTAGTTATTTGTGCTTAATAACAACTCCTGAAGTTATTAAACTTGTTAGGATAAGGCCAAAGTCATGAAACAAAATCTCAGAAAACGGTGGTTTTTAAAATATAAATGTTAATTTTCTCTCATATAACAGTTCCAAAATATGCAGTCCAGGTTAGCAAAATAACTACACTGAACACATTTATTCAGGAACATGGCTTCCCTCTGTTTTGCCATTGAGTCCACTCCGAGGATGTTATCAACATTTGCACAATTAAATTTGAGGCATACTCGATTTGGGCATCTAACAGTAGACAAGAAAAAAAGCAGAGAGAAGGCTAGTCCAGTGTGGAAAGATCTGGACTTATAAGAGGTCCTTATCACTTCTGGGAAGAGAGCCTAGGGAGGAAAGTATGGTCAGGTGCCTGGTACCTAACTGCCACTCTTGGCTTTGAAAGGAGATGGTTGATTAGAGTGGGCAACCTAGAAAATTTGCCAACATGATCCTAAGTCTAAGCGCCCAGATTTAATCCAACATCCACAATGTGTAGATAAGCAAGTTAAATCCCAGTGAGGTTATGAATTTTGGATGAGCCCCCTCCCCACACTCTATAAGGATCTGTCTGTGAGGTCACCCAGGTTTTCCCTCCTCCACTGCCATTTTGGGTACTGAGGCCAGGCACTTGCTGTCACCTCAGGATTGTTGCTCAAAAGAAATTTAATACTATGTTGGCAAAAGAGAGGGAATGATTAGCAGCAAGGGGAAAAAAATGCTTCTTGGATGCTGAATAGCTCCTCTCAGTGTTTGTTGTGCAGTCCTCTCTGTCAGTCCATTCTCAGCTTCCTTTCTCTACCAAACTCTTTAATAACTGATCTGCCTCCTTTATCACCTCATTTCTTTCCCTCTAACTTTTTCTTTCAGCTCCAGGGATATAACATATATCTACCTTTCAGTTATTTTTCTAACAAGTGCAAGGGACCCTTGGACTGTTTTTAATCAGGTGTGGCTTGTGCAAGCACGTGGGCTGAAATTCATGGGAAATGGGAAAAGAAGGGCACCGTGGTACCCTACCGTCAGTGTAAAGACAAAAACAAACACAAAAAATATCCTGTGGATGGTGAGAAGAGCAGCCTCAAAACACAGAGACAGGGTAGGTACTGAAGACATGCTAGGCAAAATGAGGAAAATGAGGGACCTTAAGGTCAGCCTAAGTATGTGGATATGAGGCTGGAGGCACAAGGAAGCCCTACCCGGTTTGGGAGCAGAAAAGGGACACTGTGTAAACTTGATGTTTGAAAGTCTGCAATACCCTGTCTGTTGCTTCACGAGGGACTTTAGGATACATGTAGATTTGTCAGGCTTCAAGGGTCAAAAAGGCTAGGCCTCCACATTCAACATCTTTCAGACCCCTGACTCTGGTGATGAGAGAGATCCTGGGGATCAGGACACCAGAAGGCAGAGCTCCTGATTCCTTCAGAGAAGTGAAAGCTTTGGTTTAACTAAGCCCAAGTAAAGGATCCGCCTGGCCTAGAAGTAAAGAGCTCTCCTAGATCTTTGTTCCTTTCTTCTATGAGGGAAGAAATCTGTGCTCGATTCTGAACTACTTAGGGTTTATTTCTTCTTATATATTACAAACATTGTCCAAGAAATTAATAGCCATTCTCTCTGGGGCTGACACGTCTGTCCCTCAGCAGAGCCAGAAGATCTACTGTGGAAAAGAAGTTGCTTAGATGTGAACTAAATCTGGACCAAGACTACTTAGACTGCTCTCCCGTGTATGGAGCCCACTTCCTTCTGTTTAGTAAGTGAGCAGTGGCATCAGAATCATTACATGAGACTCTCCTGGGAATGGAACTCAATAAGAACATCTCCCTTCCTGGCCTGGCCTCTTTTCCTACAGAGAAAAGACCTTTGTGACCAAAGTATTGCCCTGTGTGACTCTCTCCTCTGGCTGCCAAGTATAAATTGAGTGCTAATTACATAACTGTTTGGCCCAATCCAGTGAATGTTTATTTCGGCAGGCACCACACTAACAAGAAAAACCCAGTTAAAAGGCAGAAATGTGTTATTGTAGTGCTGTGTGGAGGTCACCAGAGTTTTGCATTCTAGTAGAATGAAAACTCCATGTCAAGTGTGCAAAGCATTGGGAAAGTTGACGTATGAAGGGTTATATTCAACAAGAAGAATGTTACAGTGACATAACATTCATTGCATGCATTTATTTAAAACTAAAACATTAAAAAGAATGATCTCAAATGGAGGGCAATGTAAGAGGGGGAAACAGGAGCACACATACGCACGTCAGTGAACACGATGACTACTCAAGCTTTATGCAGAGTGTTGAACCATAACAATATATTAACAAATAACTGGCAATGAAAAAAATTTCACTGCAATGTCAGAAAATACCAAGATTGAGGATCAGTCCTGCCTGGAACTTGGCATAGACTTCCTATTCCCATTTTGCTACCTTCCGAATTCCTCCACAATTTGCCATTCTTCTCCAACTGCCCCTGAGCAGCAAGACTTTGAGTAAAAATTGCAATAAAGTTTTATGCCCTTTTGCAGCCACCTGTGAGATAGGGAGGAGGGTGATGAAATGGAAATTGCACAATGCTGGAGTTACCAACACTGAGAGCAGCAGGTATACCAAACCTGCTGGTATCTCCTGGAAGGCAGACAACCCACACTGGTGCGGTGCTCTGACTTTTGTGCACACATTTCCTTGACAAGCCGCAATAATGCCTGCTATTCTCATTCACTGTTTTCTCCAATAGTCTCACTAACAGTGCAATTCACTTTTAATTATCCATATTGGTCTGGGGCTTCTCTCCATAAATGTGCTCTGTTGGGAGAACTCAGTTTACAGCTGAGCTAGGATGGAATTTAGTTTTGTTCAGAGGACTAGTGTGTGTGTGCTTGTATATGTGTGTGTGTGTGTGTGTGTGTGCGCACACGCATGTGTTTAAGAGAGAAGGAGAGGGGAGAGGGAGAAGGAAAGGAAAAGAAGGGAAGGGAAGGGAAGGGGAAACTGGGAGAACTCAGTTTACAGCTGAGCTAGGATGGAATTTAGTTTTGTTCAGAGGACTAGTGTGTGCGTGCTTGTGTGTGTGGGGGGGGTGTGCACACGCATGTGTTTAAGAGAGAAGGAGAGGAGAGAGGGAGAAGGAAAGGAAAAGAAGGGAAGGGAAGGGAAGGGAAAGGAAGGGGAAAAAATGATGTAAATCTGTGGATCAGTGATACACTTTAATTGAATAGCCCAGTGTTCTGGATTTTTCTTTCCTCCACTTGGTATAAATAATTGAGTTTAACTATAGGGCTAATTGGTAATGTAGATAACAGAAGGAAAGCAACATCATAAGCATGAACATAACTTTTTAAACATACACCCAGGGCTTGAATCCCTGTGGGGTTTACAATTTAGAGCCACTAACCAACCAGCTCATCAGAGAGTGACCCACAAGTACTGTCAGTATCTTCTTCAATGAGGTAACGCTGCGGTATTGGCACCTGGGGAATTGTTTGCCTGTGGTGAGCTGGCACACAGTATTCTCCAGTTCCGGGCTCTCACAGCCACGTATGCCAAGATTCTGTCCACACTTGCAGCTACAGGCCTTGTGGAGCCTGTGAATCACTTCAGCAGGGCCATGGATGAAGTTATTGCTTGAGTTGCATGACCCATTAGCTTCCAAAACTTTTCTCCAGGCCGTCTTGTTATTGTAACACTCTTTGTCACGAACAGGACTGTTTTGTTTAGAGGTGCTATAATATAATCTGAATGTCAGTAATGAAGAAGGCATAATGTTCTTGGACAAGCTGAGGCTGGCATTTTTATCAAACAGAGTCAAGTTCATTAATACCTCATCAGTCTCCTTTTCTTGGGCACTTTTCGCTATCTCAGACTGCATCTTCTCCTCTGCAAATTCTTCTTTAATTATCTCCATCATACTTTCTGAAGCTTCTGCAAGAATCAGTCCTAGGCAAAGCAGTAGCAGAGAGAAGATCTCCATCTCAATCTAATGTGATCTCTACTGCAGTAAAGATAAAAAGTAAAACACAAAAAAAGGAGAATATTAAGGAGATAACTTTTCTTTTCATTATGACCATTACTCCCAGGAGTGACCCTAGATGAAAGATTCCTGCATATATTGTAATAATGGAAGTATAATACAGTGAAAAGACAATCACTGTGCAGTCTGAAGACATGGGTTCAAATCCCTGCTTCTCCACTTACAATACCATACTTCATTTAACCTCAGTTTACTCCTCTGAAAAGAAACTGTGAGAGTTATGTAAGGTGGTAAGTTTAAAGTGCTGGAACCAAGTATGATTTTTCTTCCTTTCCTCTGTTTTATACTCTTATTGGTGGGGTCTATTGTCTCCATAGTGGGTCACAGTCATTTCACCTAATGCATTCCTCATCATTACTCTCTCCTACAGCCCCATAAACTACCTGGCATGCAGCAGCCACTTAAAAACACACCACACAGTCATTTCCCCTCCCTTGATGTTTTTCCCACCCATTCTCAGTCATGAGATTTCAGCCTTTACCAATTCCTTTGACACGTTGATCCTTCAGGGACAGATTCTAGCTTGTTGCAGAGCGAGAAATGAAACTGTTTCCTGGGAGTTTCTGCTATTGGGTCTGAGGGGAAGGAGGGGCAAGAAAGGGGTAGAAAGAATGGCAAGAGATTGACAGAGGAGACAATGTGGAACCAAGGACACTCAGAAAAATTGAACACAGTGTCCATTTGGAAGCCACAATCTCAGTGACCCAGGAAGCACCTCTGCCTCCTCTTCTGTGAAATCTTCCTCATCTATCTCTTCTTTAGCACAGGTGATCTTCTTTCTTTTCAGGCTTCCTCAACACAGGTTATGCTATGCTTTGTTTTGAGCTATCCTTTGCATTATTCTGGTTAGTTGACAGGTGTCAGTCTTTCTCCCCTCTTACTAAGGCTGATGAAACCTTGAGCCTAGAACACAGTTTCAGACTATTGTTATTCTGTACAGCATCACACACTGAATTGTACAAACACTGGTTTCTCCACAATATTTTTTAACAATGTGACATGACTTGAGCGCTAGAAAATCTTTTATTTGCAGTCAGTGCTAGGAAGTTCATAGTGAGAATTGCAGAGTTTTTCAGGAGGATAATTCTTTTACCGTTGAGTTACCCTATTGTCCCCTCTCATTTCTTTTCCACCCGTAAAATCCTCCTTCTCTTGTGCATATTGTCTCTTGCATTACCATGCTTGCTTCCCTGTTTAAAGCAGCTCTATTTTATTTGTTTGTTTGTTTGTTTGTTTATTTATTTATTTATTTATTTATTATACCGGAGACTGAACTCAGGACCTTACACTTGCGAGGCAGATGGCAGCACCACTGAGCTAAATCCCCAGCTAGAAGCTTTATTTTATATGCCACCAAGTTAACCCATCTTAAGTGTGCAATTTGAAGGCAAATCACAATTTTAGAACATTTTTATTTCCTCAGAAAGGTCCATTGAACCTGCTCATGGTCATCTCCCATTCCCACCCCCAGTCCCAGGCAACCATTATTCTACCTTTTGTCTTTTCTGGATATTTCATGCAAATAGAAACATGCAATTCATGAGTTTTTACATCTGACTTCTTTCTTTGAACATGTTTGGAATTGCATCCATCCTGTAGCCAGTATCTGTATCTTGAAATTTTTTAGAGAGGACTCTGATCCCATTGTATGAATGGAGCACATTTTGGTTTTCATTCATCAGTTTATGGACATTTGGGCTATTTCCACCTTTTAAAATGTGTTTGTATTAGTAAATATTCATTTTATAAGATATTTGGCTTCAATATGGTACTTTTATTCATGCATATGACATGTTTGATCTATGTATTTACTACCCTCTCTACACTTTCTTCACCCTCCATATAATTTATTTCTCCTTGTGTAATAATAACATCCCTTATACTTTCATGTCATTTTTTGAAGATTCCAGATATTAGGCAAAACGTGCAATACTTGACTTATTTTGCTTAATATAATAATCTGTATTTTCATGAAAATGATATAAAAAAATTGGGGGGGTACTGGAGATCGAACTCAGAACCTTGCACTTGTGAGGCAGGTGGTGGAACCACTGAGCTCAATCCTTGAACCAAAATGACATAATTTTATTCTCTGTGGCTAAATGCTACTCCTTTGTCAGTTTATCCTTTACCCATTTATCCATTTATTCTTTAACCCAGGCTGGTTCCATGCCGTGGCTATTGTGAATTGTGCCACAATAAACATGAGCTTGCAGGTGGCACTATAGAATGCTGACTTTACTTCCTTCAGGAATAGTGTGGTAGGGTCATATGGTAGTTGTATTTTTAGTTTTTTGCAGAAACTCTATGTTGATTTCTATAGTGGCTATACTAATTTATACTCCTACTAACTGTGTAGAAAGGTTCCTTTTCCCACCTTGCATCTTCACCATCATTACTTGTTATTTGTATACGATAGCCATTCCTACTGGGGTGGGTGGGATGGAAGCTCAATTAAACTTTGGTTTACATGTCCCTAATGGCTAAGGATGTTGAACATTTTTTTCATACACTTATTATCCACTTGTACTTCTTTTGAGAAGCATCAGTTCAACTCATTTGCCCACTTATTGATTGGGATATTTGATTTTTTAATGTTAAGCTTTTTTCATTTTTTAAAATGTATTCTAGATATTAATCCTGCTAGAAGAGTAGTTGGCAAAGATTTTCTCCACTCTGTGGGTAGTATCTTTTCTCCCTTAGTCATTTTGTTTGCTGTATAGAAACTTTTTAGTCCTATTTGTTGATTCTTCCTAATATTTCCTGTACTATTTGAATCATACTCAGGAAATCTTGCCTGTGCCTATGGCTTCAAGTGTTTCCATTGCATTCACTTCTAGAAGTTTCAACGTTTCAGGTCTTATATCCAAGTCTTTGATTCTTTTGAATTGATTTTTGTGCAGGATGAAAGACAAAAAGGAAGGGGGAGAATACAGATAGCTACCCTGATAAGAAAGAATCAGGGTAGAGGGCTCTGGAAAGATGCAGGACTTGTGGGCCCTTTTTACCTGGCTGCTTTTATAGGAGGATCAGTGAAAACCCTCCTCCCCTGAACTTGCCAAAACTGGATTGGCCTCTGGGCATCTCTGCCTAACATCATCTCTTCCACATGTATCTCTTTTTTCTCTTGTTTGTTTACTTGTCCTTCACCTACTTTTTAAGGCCTTATCTTTGAGGTGGGTGGCAAGAGGGCACCCTATTACTGGTTAGCTTAGAATTAGTAAGGAGGTGTGTGAATATCTTTTAACTTTCTAATGACCCTAGAGGGAATAATATAGTGACTCTAGAATGAACACATAGGTGTATATACATACATACATGTGTGTGTGTGTGTGTGTGTGTGTGTAAGTGTTAGTACATAGGTGTGGTATATACTTGCATACACTGAATAAGAGCATCCCCCCAAATTAGGTATCCCCCCTCTTTTTTCTTTGCTCCCTTTCCATTCTATTGGTGCTGGGCTTGGCTATCATTTGTGCACTTGGCTTTCTTTGTACTCTGCCTGTCAACTCTTTCCCCCTCTGGTCTTTTGGTGCAAGTCCCATGGCCATTGGTGCCTTTCTTTATCTGGTTTTTCTCTCTTTCTCTACCCCATCCTTGGCCTATTTCCAAGGGAAATTTTTATCATAAAGTTTGTATTTAACTTCTTCTAGTCAGGATTAGCTAGAAGACCTACTAAGGTTCCTATTCTATTTTTTCATCTACAGGCCTCTGTCCCTACAAGTAGATCTTTAATTTGGGGGAGGTCTAATGTTTTTTATTTCTTTATATATTCTAGATATGAGTCCTCTGAGCTATCTTTCCTCCAGTGTGTGTTTAGGCCCCTTTGTCAAAGATCAAATAATTGAATGTGATTGGGGTTGGTTCTGCATCCTCTATTCTGTTCCATTGGTCTTCATGTCTGCTTTTATGCTCATACCGTGCTGTTTTCATCACAGTAGCTTTATAATAGAGTTTAGTTTGGGATTATGATGCCTCCTGCTTTGCTCTTGTTACCCAGGATTCCTTTTGCTATTCTGGGTCTTTTCTCCTTTCATATGAATTATAGGATGGTTTTCTCCAGTTCTATGAAAAATGCTGTCAGTATTTTGATTGAGATTACATTAAATCTATATGTCAATTTTGGAAGTATGGCTATTTTGATTATACTGATTCTACTTGTCCAATAGAGGATATTGTTCCATTTTCTGATGTCCTCTTCATTTTTCTTTTTCAGAGTACTGTAATTTTTGTTGTAGAGTTCTTTCACTTCCTCAGTTAGATTAATTCCTAAGTATTTAATTTTTCTTGGTGCTATCATGAATGTTATTTTTTTCCTAATTTCTTTCTTAGTGGGCTCATTATTAATGTACAAGAACGCTATTGATTTTTGTGTATTGATTATGTATCCTGGCATATTACTGAATTTTTGTTATTAATTCTACTGTCTTTTGATGGATTTTTTTTTGGGGGGGGGAATTTTCCCTGTAGAGGATCATGTCATTTATAAATAATGATAATCTGACTTCTTCCTTTCCTATACATATCCCTTTTAATGTTTTTCTTGCCTAATTGCTCTTGCTAGTATTTTGAGTACTATGTTGAACAGAAGTGGTGATAAAGGACATCTTTGTCTTGTTCCTGATTTCAGAGGGAAAGCTTTTGGTCTTTCTTCATTTAATATGATAGTGATACTGAGTTTGATTCCTTGGCATTTTTTTAAATTATGTTGAAAGGAATTGGGGTTTTTTACTCCTTTCTCCGAGCTCATTAGTGGTGTATGGAAAAGCTATTGATTATTTCATGTTAAGTATATATCCTTCTTACTTCCTTTGTAATCTGTACTCTTTGCCCCTCCAATTTCTTCAATACACTACTTTTCTAAAAACACTCGTACCTGCAATGACACTACTTCAGAATTCTTGAAATATTCCTCCTTCCATACAGAAAGAAGTCAAATCCCTGGTGCCCACTAGCCAAGTTTCTATTTGACCTACTCCCCATGTGATTTTCAAGATTTATCTCTAATTATTTTTGTTATACAAACCCATTCTTGTCAATCAGTGTGACCCCCTCTTCTTTGAATACCTATAATGACATCCTTTTCTTTTTTGCTCCTTTTCTTTTGCTTCTCTTGAAATTCTTCAATGTATAATTCCATTTTTTCTTTGGAACATTTTCTGACCACTTAAATCTAATGAATCTATTTCTCATTTCTCTGAACTTCTTATTTTCCACTTTATTCACTTCTTATTTTACGCTAACGACATTAGTACACATGGAGTTTAAAATTATTATATTTGAATTTTAAATTTCCTATGTGCAGGATTAGAGCAAAGATATATCATCAAGTATGTACAAGCCTTATGACTGGATTGATGTATCACTAACAGATTATTAAAAATTAAGTGGATGAGCTGGGGATTTAGCTAAGTGGTTCAGTGGCCTGCCTTGCAAGCGCAAGGACCCAAATTCAATCCCTGATAGTACCAAAAAAAAAAAAAAAATTAAGTGGATGTGTTTTCATGTGTACCTTGAGCCTAGACTTTGTGTGTGTTGGAGAGAAGAAAGGAGAAAGACTTGTAAAGAATTTATTTTGTTTCCTAGATTTTTACATTCTTTGCCTTTGAAATCAATAGTGAGATGGTAATGGGAAAACAAAGACAATGGAGAGAAAATAAACAGGAAATAGAGGAATGCAGAAGTGCCCAGTCTTGCTGAAACATGAATTTCAAGTGGGCAGAATTCACAGTTGCCTGGAATTAACTTCAGACTGCTAGGTGCTCATTAAAACAAACAAGCAAGCAAAACAAAACCCAACTACGAGTGTCTAACATGTCCCAATTCGTTTGAATTGTACTTTGATCCTTATTGAATAAAAACGCTCTGAGGATAGATTCCATCAGACCATCTCTGTTACACTTTAATGAGAATGCATTTATCAACAAGATTTGTTTCCAATTAGAAGAAAGGCTGAGGGAGGAAGAAAAAGCTTTGAGAAGGCAAGAAAGGACAAGAAAGCCTAGGGATAGGGGCAGAAAAAAGAATCCGAATGCAGAGAACAGAGTCAGAAGCCTAAAGGACACATTTCATTTACTGTAGTTTGTCCATCTAGGGATAGGGGCAGAAAAAAGAATCCGAATGCAGAGAACAGAGTCAGAAGCCTAAAGGACACATTTCATTTACTGTACAGTTTGTCCAGGATCTGATGTTACCAAGATTTAAGTCATGTGAGTTCCTGCTAAATTTCTGCTCAGACTCCGAGAGCTCTCTGCTCACTTGCTAGCACCCAGAATTCTCTGAACACAACAGTGACAGCAGGATTCTCACAGAAAAATGGCTGACGGAACTCAGCTGGAAAAGAGCCTCCCAAAATGCAGTGCGGTAACTATGAGTTGGGTAAGCTGTGCCTATGAATAAAGCTATGAAGTGTTCTTTACCCATGGCTGTGCCATCATCGCCCGTAAATCTAATCAATGGGTTAAAACTGGATGCTTACAGAAGACAGAGCTGATGACTAGCATCCGTGCAGCTCCTTCTTTGATATGACTTTGAATTAAGTCCAAATGGTCAAGCAACAATTGAAATCTCTCAAGTGAAAAGATTGGGACAGAAAGTACTCGCTAGAGCTTATGACTCATGCCTGCTCACAGTATGAGTCTCTGTTTCTCACAGGATTAAAATATTATAGCTCAGAATTAGTGACCCCGTAAGATGGCCTTACTTGGAAATTATTCTTCATTTTTATTTCTCAGTACTAAGCCTTTCCTCCAGAAAAGCCAGTTTCTATACCCTCAAAGAAATAGTATTTTAGCAGACTGATAGATTTGGAAGAACCTCAAAGATCACCTCAGTGAAGCTCCTCACCTTATAGATGAGGAAACCAATGATCAAACAACAGGTCTTGATGAAATTCCCACAATTAGAAGGCATTCCTTCTCCTCCTGCTCTCTGGCTGGAAGATTAATACCCCCATAGCTGAATATGGAATAAGTAAACAGCGAGTTCAGTTGCAAGAACTAAAAGGAGAAAGGAGTTAGTGGTGTAGCTCAAAGCCCTGCCTGTTCCCTAAAGAGATACAAACAGGAGACACACTAAACACACTGAATTCTGAGAGTCTCAGTCGCTCCCTGGGAAATCTTTATTCATTTCTCTCCACAGTCTTTAAAGAAAAAATATAAGGGGGTGCCTAAAACTCACTGCTTAAGATAAACAATATTTAATGCAACATGTAAAAAATAAATTTAATCTAATATAACCCTTGACATGCAGATATTAAAATTTTAATTAACAAGATCTGACCTTTCACTAGTACAACTCATACACTCCTCGCCCTAATCCCAGCTGTGATAGGTTGAGTGTTTGAAATGTAAAGATTTTGTGCATCGAGGATTTTTGCATTAATTTTTGTTTAAAAATTGAGTCAAAATATTTTTTATCTAGATAATTGCAGTTTTTTGTGTGCCCCTGCCTAAATTTTTGGCTTAAAGTGACAGAGTCACTCACTTTGCCTCAATCCCAGACTTGCCTCATGTTCACCCTTGGCCCTCATCACATGACTCAAAGAAAAGAGGAGGAAAAAATGGAAGCATACATAGAATTTATGGTTTAATTCAGGAAAGACTTCTATTGAAGCAGAATAAAATGATTCCAACTCAGCAGTACTGGAAGAATAAATTAATGACAGTTGACTACCCATTTTGTTTAAGGCCTTATCCCTTTGTCCCCAGGTCAAGTCTTCTGCACGAACAACAGCCCCAGAGCAGCTCAGGGAGAATGAGCTGGAGTTGCAGGCTCAGAGGCTGATCTCAAGTTACTCAACAAATCCCTGGAAATTAACTGGCCCCAAGTTATCACAAGTGACAAGAACATACCCCTCCAAGGAGGAAACATGGTACCTGCAGGCAGGATATATTGTGCCACCAATGAGTTGGCAGCGTGTCATTTTGAACTTTGTCTCACTCTGGAAGCAGAAAAAGGTGGAATGGTTTGGGCACGCCATCTTCCTGGGAGAAACACAGATGCTGTTGATTTTTTGGGGTCTCTCGTGGATGAAGATGTGCTCCTTTTTGCATGTGTGGTTGGGTTCCCTGATGATTCTTTGTAGAATCATGGAGTTGCAGTATCTTACAGGAATCCTGCTTTTGGGGTAGTCCACATTCGAGTGCTCTATGGATGTCAGCACTAAATCCTCATCAGGTTCTTTTTCCCAGAAGAGAAGCAGCAAGAAAATGATCACCATTAGTATCATCAGGGTTAAGACTCCCTTCACATCTATGGCTTTAGCTCCTGTTAAGTAATGGAGAAAAAAGGAGCACAGAGTAATCAGGTTCTTCCTGTTCTAATCCCTGGCTCCCCCCCATCTTTTCTTCTTCTTCTTCTTCCTCCTCCTCCTCCTCCTCCTCCTCCTCCTCCTTCTTTCTTCTTCTTCCTCTTCTCTCTGCTACTTAAATCATGTCTACCCTGCAAGGCCCAGCTGGAGGCATAGCTCGTCATTAAAGCCCTCTCAGGCCATTTCTGCTCTAAGAGTTTGGTATTAACTGTTCTATCATAATTCCCTTTGCCTCTACATGCTCCTTGATAGCAAGTACCACATTTTCTATTTCTCACAGAGCTTTCAAAATGCTTCACACGGGGCTGAATATACAGAAGGTACTGAAAACTAAACCATGCCAGATTCTTTCATTCATAGAGCTCAGTGACTTCTCTCCCCACAGCTTTCTCAACCTGAATTCCAAGCAATTCCATGTTTTTGGCAATGTTCTTCCCAATTCCTTCCTTCCTTGTGTCTATTCTGTTTGATCCGTGTGAGCTGCTCTTACCTGTCGTTTTCACTGCTGCTTTCACAGGCAACATATCCTTTTGATCTGAGAAAAGTCTCTTGTGTCTCACTGTTCCCTGCCCCGGCCTGACAGGGAGCAACTTGAGTGTGGAGAGAGCAAGAGCAGATAGAGCAGAAAGGGAGGGACCTGTAGAGTGGCGTCTTGGGTGCACTGGGAAGGAAGAGGAGTTTTTCCTTCAGAGAGATGAGTAAGGCAGGTCGTGGATAGTTCCTTATTAAAGAAATAGGAATTTTCAAAACATTCGGTGAAGTCCTCATGTGTACCAGCCACATTATTGTCTGTTTCCTAAATTTTCAATCAGTCCTTCCTACAAACCCGTGGAGAAGCTCTTCTTTTAATTTCACTGATAAAGGAAGGAATTGCAGAAAAGTTGAGGTGACTATGGGAAATTACACGAATCTCACTCTCACAATGCTGAGCACTTGAATTCTAGTTTCAGGGAGTTTTATTTCCACGTGCTGTCTAGGAGAGGTCAAACATGTTCTCTGGCATTAACATCAGCCTTGATAAAGTTCTGGGCTTCTGGAGATTATGGCAGCAGTTCCCAAACTGCTGAATGTTGGGAACATCTGGGGATTTTTTTTTAAATGCTAACTTCTATCTCAAGCAGTATGATATCAGATGTGGCTAATTAAAATATTCCAAAGATATTGTAATATGTAGCAAAATTTGGAACAATTTAACTATGGCATAAGTAGGAAAGCTTCAAGGATAATTAGTGGAGGAGGGCTTAGTAAAATCACAGTGGCTCAAGGTCTTAAGACAATAGAAATTTTATTTCTGTCATTTAGTAAGTTGATACAGGAGTGAAAATTTGACTTAACTTTATTAGATCTTGCTCTAAAATCCTCTCTCTCTCTCTCTCTCTCTCTCTCTCTCTCTCTGTTATGCTTGGGATCAAAACCAGGGCCTAGCACATGCTAAGTCATCACTGCCTTTAGAAACACAGCTAAAAAGACTGCTCAACACATATTTGTGTCTCTAATCAGCAGGAAGGAAGTGACTGCCGGGTGGAAATTATCTAGGAAGGACAGAGCATTTTGGAAAAGACCTCAGAGAGGGCATCTCTTCCTATACAACAAAAACATAATTTCAGACCATGAAAAGAGCAAGTTAGCGGTTATTACTTACTTTCTATAAGCTTTCATTCCGAGCGTCCTTTCAGAATTCAAACTGTTCTGTTTTGCACATGTGCTGCATAGTGCCACAAAAACATAAGTGCATAATTAATTTTTGGCAAATTTTCCAATTAACAAAATTTAATTTGCACATCATGTTGCAGGAAAAGCTCCACTGAATAAAGAGAAGTATATTCATGTGCTGTTCCTGTGAGGACTTCCCAGTGGCTGAACTACAAATGCTGTATTGAGTCTGCAATAAGGGAAGCAAGCCCTGCTGCAAAAGATTTTCCAAATGAGGCAACTGAACCTGTCCCGAACATTTCGGAACCTGAACGTTTCACTCAGAATCAGAGTTAAGACTAACTCACCTCCAGCCTTCAACCATCATCAGTCTACTCTTTTCTTCTATAAATTCTATCTTATTAATTTATTTATGGATTTTTGAGAAGGGGGTCTTGCTACATAGTTAAGACTGGCCATGAACTCACTGTGTAGCCCATGCTGGCCATGAACCCACAGCAATCCATCCTCCTGCCTCAGCCTCCCAAGTACTGGGATTCAGGCATGTTGCACCACGTCTGGTCCTCTACCTTTTTCAGGTTCCACGTGCAAGTGAAGTCATTTGGTATTGGTCTTTCTGTCTCTGTCTTCTTCCACATAGCATGATGTCCTGCAAATTCATGCTCAAATCAATTTGTAAATTTGTTCCAGAACAACCTGAGGACAACCTCTCTCTCCTTGAAGATGTACTTTTCTGAATGATTTACATAGAACTGGAAAACATGAACTTCCTGTATTGAAAAATGGGAATGGAAGGAAGCTGAGTAAAACCCAGGAGGGGTAATGACGGCACTGCCAGGCTCAGCTGTTAGCTGAAGGATTCGAGCAATACCCTCACGTGCTGCTTGACACCCATCTAGCTCCCTTCCTACTCTTTCACCTGCCCCCTTGTCCAGGTGAGGTGAACAGGCTGGGGCCTGCACATGTCCAAGAACGAGCAGCTCCTGATCTTGGACAGGACAAGTTCTGAAGTAGAGGCTGTCACACTCTTGGCTGTCATTATAGCCCCAGGCTAGCACCCCAAGGGTGCTGCTCTTCCTTGAGGAGAAACCAAACCATTTCTTGTTTTATAATTTCCCTGTGTCTCTCAAATGATTGCTGCCTTATATAGCCCAAAAAAGACCAGTCTTCCTACCATTACTTTCCAATAGCAACTTGCTAGGCTTATTTAGCTTTTGTACTTTTAAGGCTGCTTCGATCATAGTGCCTTGAGCTGAACCCTCAACAGCCCTCTCTGAGCCCTGACTGAAGAAGGACCATTAGTCCAGCCTTCCCTCAGAGTTCCTCCCAAGCCTTGCTCTCCTCTCTGTACCAGTTCCAGCTTTCCTGAACGTCAGCTAAAATTCCTTGAAAAAGACAAATGATTTTCTCTCACTCCAAATAATCCCCAAAGCTCTAAAGAATCCAGGAGTGTTCAAAACAAACAAACACGCTCCCTATTCAGAAGCTCCCAGCAAGGGCAGGATGAGCAGCAATGAACAGTCGTGAAAGTGGGCTCCTCTCTCTTAACCCTGGCTCTGCTGTGCCACACACGGTGCCTAGAATACAACCAATGTTCAATAAACATTTGCTCAGTAAAATCTGAATGAATGGAGAATGTACAGATGAATGGCCTAAAAGAACTGTATTTTGCACTGTAACTGATATAAAAAATGATACAGGGCCTCCACTTATGATCTAACGGAAGTATTATAACTCCCAACCTGCTGGATGTCTGATTCGCTGAGTTTGTGCTCTCTAAAATCAAAGAGTGAATTCTAGGAACAACGAAAGTTAAGAGTAGGAAACTTTATTGAGGGAAAGACAGGAGGGGGCTGAGAAAGTGAATTGCTGAGGACCCCTTCTCAAAGGAAGTTTTATAGAGTGCAACCACATGGTTGCAATGTGGGCTACAGCTCTGCTCAACCAATAAGATTGTAAGAATAGTCACTTAGGTTATATTGATGGAGACGCAAGTCCCATAGCAAATGTACATGGAAAGGGCAAGGAACTTTCCGGGAAGGGACCGGTCTGAGGGTTTTGGTCACCCACCGAGGTGACATTTATCAATACTTTATTAGACCAGGTGTTTCTGCTTATCTCCAGCCTCGTCATTCTGTTTTTATCTTGAGGCTTGGCCTCCAGCTCATGAGCCTCTAGCCACATCTGGTCCAGTTGACTCCGACCACGGGAACCTGGCGCTGTCCTCTATTGCAGGTCTGCCTGGAGCAACTGCAAGGAAAGGCCAGGGCCCTGAAGATCCCTGTTTCCTTCCCTGTGCCTTCCTTTGGGTCCTGACCTTTAAGGCTTACCTAAAGCATCTAAAAGGCCACACTGTGGCCAGATGGAGAACTGCCACAGAATATTCCTGGGACTACCCACCCTCATCCTGCTTTTTCCTGAGGATGACACGTCTTCTGCAAGAGCAGATCAATCCCTCAGTCCTGGTGTCACAGTATAAGGTCTCCCTTACCCTTTTGACACCAGGAACCAGTTTTGAGGAGGACAAGTTTTCTATGGAATGGTAATTTTGAAGTAATTTCCCCCTTTTCAAAAAGCTCTCTGTTGGGCTGGGGATTTAGCTCAGTGGTGCTGCTGCCTGCCTAGTAAGCATAAGGTCCTGAGTTCAATCCCTGGTACAAAAAAAAAAAAAAGTCTCTGTTGACATGTGGTTTACTCACTTTGGCAAGTGTTAGCTTATGGACTATCAACACTGTGACTGGGACAAGTGCTCAATGTGAGCCTGGGAGAGGGGCTAATGGAATTTGTGAAAAAAACAATGGGCAGGGCCATGCAGTCCTAAATAAGTGTCAGAGTCTGACCTAAAGCCCGCCACCAGAGGCAGCTGTAGAATTAAAGTACATCAACTTACTTGCCACTCAAAAAGCTTGCCACAAGATGCAGTTTAATTGTCACTTGTCACTCACTGATAGGAGTCTGTAAGCAATTGATTCTGGCCTCGGTTCAATCAAACTGCTCTGCTAATGTTAATCTCTATTTGTAGCCGCTGCCCAGTGACACCACCACCACAGGTCCACCTCAGAGAGTTGGTAACTACAACTCACAGTACGGTTCTTGCCCCTCCTGGAATCTAATGTTACATCGCTGATGTGACAGGAGGTGGAGCTCAGGCAGTGATTTCAGTCATGGGGAGGATTGTAAATACAAGTGAAGCTTTGCCCACTCACCCTGCTGCACGGTGCTTTCCTAACAGGCAGAAGACATGTACCTGTCTGCGGTCCCAGGAA